ACCTTTTCTAGATCTGGTAATATTGAGGTGATGACTGCCTTTACCTTTGGACCTTTATTTTCTAGACCAATGGCTCGCTTTTCTTCTTTTTTAAAAAAATATGATTTGGAATACATATTCTTTGTGCCAATCACTTCAGTTGGATATGGAGATAGTGGATTTCTTTCCCCTTCATTCTCTATTTTTCAAAAGCATTTTCCTTGCTGAAATGCTTTTTGCCTTCCTTCAGCAAAGTATATGTAGGCACCTCTTACCTCAGAAATTCCAAATTCTATGGTGTTGCTTTTCTTTTTTTCTAAAGTCTCTAAATACACCACACATATGGATAGCTGGGAATTTTTTTGTGGTTTCATTTCCTTAATTTCTCCTCCACCCTTATTTTGTGCTGATTCTTAGTATAGAAGATACAACCAAATTGAATTACTAACTTTTCTAAAGCACATATGTTGCAGTGGAAGCAAGGAGGACGATAGGTGGCAAAGATCGTCAAGATTTTGGGTTATCAAATAAATTATTTATAGAGTACCATTGATAAATTTGTATTCTTTCCTACACTAGGAACTAGATGAACTCTTCCACAAGTACCCACCTCGAATTCATGCCTACTTAGACTAACTGCCCCATTTTACTGGCCTGTTTTTGCTGTCAAGTCATTAGTTTGTCAGAGTTGAGTCTGGCCCCTCTTTGGATCTGTAGACACAGCCTTCTCAATGCACTGTCAGTGGCATTTCACTGTAGTAGTTGCAATACAGGTATATGTGCTTGCTAAAGAGTCCAGAGCTATGTTTCATCATCTCAGGACAAAATTTAAAAAAGATAAATGACGTGACAAAAGTATAATAAGGGGTACAGAATGATCATAATATAAGATAGTAGGTGGTAAGCTACATCAACATTTAATTTTCTATGTTAAAAACCAAAGTGTGTAATTCTCTGACTGTCTAAAGGACACATGCATATAATCTTTGGCCTCTCCTCTCTTTAATACCTACGTATACACATATCATACTCTACATGACATGGAAAAGAGAGAGAAATAATCAAGCCAGACACTTTGCGCCAAACTACAGTCTCTTAGGAGTGGTTTTTCTTTAAACCACAGTATATGAAATGTATTAATCATCATTCAAAGCATAAAAACAACAAAGGAAAGGAAAACTTTCTCCATACAGCTGGAGTTTCAAGCCCTAGACCTAAAGATTATTCTCTCAGGAAGGAAATAACTATGTTGTCAAAACTATGTTTATAACATATAATATACCTTTCACTGTCTTTCTACAGGAGCTCCAAAACAGCATGGTACTGGCATAAAAATAGACTCTTGGACCAATGGAACAGAATAGAGAACCCAGAAATCAATCCACAGATTCACAACCAACTGATTTTTGACAAAGGCAACAAAAACATACATTGGGGAAAAGACTCCTTCTTCAATAAATGGTGCTGGGAAAACTGGACATCCACATGCAGAAGAATGAAACTAGACCTGCACCTCTTGCCATATACCAAAATCAACTCAAAATGGATTAAAGACTTAAATATAAGATCTGAAACTATAAAACTACTGAAGGAAAACACAGCGGAAACAGTTCAGCAAATAGAACTGGGTAAAGACTTTATGAATAAGACCCCAAAAGCACAGGCAACAAAAGGAAAAAGAAATAAATGGGATTATATCAAACTAAAAAGCTTCTACAGGAGCTAAACATTAAACTATAAATCAAAAATACAATAAAGTAAAATTACTTAAACAGAAAAAAATAATATCAAAATCAAAACAAAATTCCAACAACACTACAGTCTTATTCTGGGTTAGATGAAGACTACCCTTCATAATATGTGTTAATGTCCTACTTTTTGGTTTGAGTGTCTGTCTTAGCATTAATTTGGATTATTAGTAAAAGACAAAATGTATTTATTTAAGGAATAGTCTATTGGTTTAGTTTCTGGGCTGGTTTCTTTTGTGGCTTCTTGTCCTCCCTGAAAATGCTCCAAGTCATCATTGTGAAATACAAATGCCAGTCATGCTGGCACTGCTCCGTTTTCATCCTCTCTACTGTTTTTATGCTCCCTCTAATTTTTATTTTAGAAGGTTTTTATTTTTTTAATGAAATTATTGGCTTGTTCACATTAAAATGTACTAATCTTAGTTGATTAAATTGATACATCAATTTTTCCTACTATAAAATACTAAAGCAAGATATTTGAGTAGTATTATTAGTGACCAAGTAATTGATTTCAATCAACCTTACTAATATTGATGAATTATTTAAAATATTGATATTCTATAGCATAAACCCCTTCCATTGCACATACAGATATGAGGTAAATGATAGAAAATGCTATAGTTGTGATGTTGAAGATGAAAACAGAAAACATGCTAGAATAATCATTAACTAGTCTGATGATGATATAACTCTAAAGATAAGTTGACCTCACACTTTACTTTTTAGTTTTTGATTTTATGTCTTTTAAGAGTGAAGACTTGGGGCCTTTGTCAAAGATCAGATTGCTGTAGGTGTATGGGTTGATTTCTGGGTTCTCAAAAAATGCTCAACATCACTCCGCATCTGGGAAATGCAAATCAAAACCACTTTGAGATACCATCTCACTCCAGTCAGGATGGCTAATATCCAAAAGACTGAGAATGATAAGTGCTGGAGAGGTTGTGGAGAAAAAGGAACTTGCATAGACTGTTGGAGAAAAAGGAACTTGCATACACTGTTGGTGGGACAGCAAAATGGTACAGCCTTTATGGAAAATGGTATGGAGGTTCCTCAAAAAATTACAGATAGATCTACCGTATGATCCAGCTATTCCACTGCTGGGAATATACCCAGACGAATGGAAATCATCATGCCAAAGGGATACCTGTACCTCCAATATTTATTGCAACACTATATACAATAGCCAAGAGTTGGAACCAGCCTAAATGTCCATCATCTGATGAGTGGATAAGGAAACTTTGGTATATCTACACAATGGAATTCTACTCTGCTATAAAAAAGAATGAAATACTACCATTTGCAACAACATGGATGGACTTAGAGAAAATTATATTAAGTGAAACAAGTCAGGCACAGAAAGAAATACCACATGTTCTCACTTATTTGTGGGAGCTAAAAATAAATAAACATACAAACAAAAGGGGGCAGGAGGAAGAAGACACAACAATCACAACAATTCCTTGAACTTGTTAAGATGAATGAACAGATATGATGTGGGGGGTGGAGAGAAAGAAGGGGAAAGAGGAATGAGTAAAGGGTCATGAAAATCAACCACATTGTATATTGAGAAGTTAAAATAAAAAAATAAAATAAAATAAAATTAGTTGGAAGTTCTCTAAAAAAAATAAATATGCAAAATAAAAGTGAAGGAGTTTTACCAACAATTTTTTTACTTTAAAACTTTATGATATTTTTATATATTATAAACAATTACAAGTTAATAAAATTAACAAAATGATTATTATCAGTTCTCAGGAGACTCTTGTAAAAGTACTGAGGGGGAAGGATAACAAATGCAAAAAAAACATATAAACTTCAAAGCAAGATTATACCAACTTACTAGTTATTCTAAGATTTTATTAGTTCCACAACAAAATCAATAGAATTCTGACTGTTTAAAAACATAAAAGTAATTAATTAAAATGTAATATGTCTCTTTCATATTAAATAGCGCACAAGCTATTAAATATATAACAGCCTTTTAAGTTGTAACTTTATCTTGGCAAGCAGAATATATACATTTTATTTTGGCAAGTAAAGGACATGAAGTAAGAGTGACTGATTAAGTCTAGCCAACAACTTCACAGTTATTCCAAGTATTGCAATACATGGAATTTGGAGCCTCAACTGGGTAAACCAATGCTAAAATTAGTTGAGATGCTAAAATCTATTTATGTTTATATAGGTTTCACATAAAAATGTCATTAGAAATAACAAAAGAAAAGCACAGTCATAGACTTCTACTTTTTGGATTCTTGAATGTTTTCCATACCTAAGGACAAAACAATTTGTATAACTTTTTCCATGACTCCAACTATTACATGCTGATGATCCTCAAATTCCTATCTCCAGCCCAGACCTGCAACTTGAGTGTCAGTACTCTATCTGCAACTTCCAAGGGGTCATCTCCATCTGAGGTCTCCACCAGCACCTTAAACTTGCACACACAATGTCTTGTATACTAAAATGTCTCGTATAACAAAATATTTATGTGCAAAACTGATCTCATTATCTTTCCCTTAAACTGGTCTATTCTTTATTGCTTTTTTATATTAATGGCTGCATCACTCACCTAGACACCCAAGGAATCCAGCTAGACTCATTCCTCCACTCTACCCTATTCCTCCTTCCGTATTGAATAGCCTACTAAGTGTGCCAATCCTATGTCCTAAATATCTACTAAATCAAGCTTCTTTCATTCACCTCCACGGCCAGGTCCCTATCAATTTTCATCTTGGTTATTGTAACAGCTTTGTAACTAGTTTCCCTTTCTCAGTTTCCCCCCATTTCAATCCATCCTTCACAATGACATCAAAGTGACTGAAGGGGCAAACCCCATGCACAAGTTTCCTCAAGTGTGGAAAAAGAGAGAGTAACAGGTAAAGAGTATCTATTTCATTTATTTCCTCCTTTCTTTCTATCTAATATACAATTTGACAGATAGCTCTTAATAAAAGGTACTATATCTACATGTTTCATCTGTATCAGTATCAAAGTGCCTCACTTGGAAACTAAACTAATTCATGTGTAGTAATAATCCATACAGTTGTAAGGAGCCTACTCATATCACAGACGAAATCTATTTCTGAGCCATAGTTTTCTTCTTTATTCAGAAGAGTATCAATATTCCTGTATAACATGATCATTCATGTTTAATCGCTATTCTTTTAACACAGTGTAAAGAAGTGTGGGGGAAACAGAAGTAGTCTTTAAGATGGTCATCCAAGAGGGGCATATTGATTTTTATTCTGGTTAAAAATGACGCATTCTTACCTTAACTATTAATCCTTTTGAGTCAACCAACCATATCTTTTTCATGGCTTTCTCCTTTGGTAAACCTTCTTTTTCCATGGCCATAACAATCAGGTGTGCAATCCCTAAGGCAGCCTGAGAAAGAGATTATAAAAAAAAATTTTAATGTTGTTCCACATGGTATCTTATCAAGGGATCTATTTCACCCACTTTATCTTTGTTAGTAAAGGAAGTACAAAATGGCTCTATTTAGCTGAAGAGCTCTGTATTCATTCACTTTATTTATACTGGGAGCAAAGTATTTTTTGCCACATTTAGGTTAAACCAAATGACAATTGTTTGCTCTTCTTACTACAACAGAACCACTATTATGTGGCTTGCTATTTAGACCCAGATAAGCCAGGGATATGCCTGATTGTCAGTGCCTTTAATCCTATTATAAAGATTTGTTCCAAGAAGAAAATACTGAATTTAAAATAATGAACTGGTCAACTTTGTTCATTGGACTGTATTCTTCATTGTTAGGCTGAAGCTTCTCTAATTGAATTTGAAGAATGAAGCCTGGTCATTTGTATGGGAACTTGACCAATTAGGCAACAGAATGAAAATGAAAAAAAAAAAAAAATCTGAGTTCCTGAGCATTTATTTACTCCCTTAATTTGGACAAAGAAAGTGCTGGGAAATTTCCTGCAAGTTTTAAAAAAAATCAATTTCCTTGCTATTTGGTAAATTTTGCGATAATCTGTGAAATTTCCAATATCTTTTTAGGGACAAACAGTGCCAGTTTTAAATCATCCAACCATGAACACTTCTGCTCTGCTGAGTATCAAGAACTGGCCTCTGTCATTCATCAAAACTCTTTGGAAAATCAAAGAGGTTTAGTAAAATTAAATACAGCATGTAAAGAACACAAATGTTAATGAGCTTTTATTTGGACTTGATTTTTATTTCAATGTGAAAGTGAATTTGTAATCTACTTTCTGAATACTTTCACATATATATACCTCAGCATTTAAGTTCTAGCTTCATATATTTTGTTTTATTTAAAGAACAAGCAAAATGAAAACCAGCACACTATACACAAATTTCTATCAGTGTAATATATTTTTTTGTTCATAATCATATTAAACTTGAAATTTTAATGTCTCTTATTACAGTCTATAATTCTAAAGAGATTTTGGTAGTATTTTCACAAGAAGATCAAACTCAACTAACATTTAAATTTCTGCTTTGGGGGGCCGGCCCGGTGGTGCACTGCTACAGTGTGCCGCTTGGGAGCGAGGCAGCGCTCCTGCCGAGGGTTCGGATCCCACATACAGACCGGTTCCCGCTCACTGGCTGAGCGAGGTGCGGGCGCAGCACTGAGGGTTGCGATCCCGTTGCCGGTCCCGGTCCGGTACGGGCGCGACACTGAGGGTTGCGATCCGTTGCCGGACACGAAAAACGACAAAAAGGAAAAAATAAAATAAATTTCTGTTTTGGGGGTGAATTATTATCATTGGAGTCTAGTTTTTTTCTTTCACATGATTAAGTTATAGAAAAAAATAACAGAAAACAGCCTAATTTGATCTTGCTGCCATCTCCTTCAATTTTAAAATATTTTCGTTCTCTTGCAGGTGAATAAAATCATAATGCACTATAAGCCTCTAATTCAAAATACTTTTTTCTTAAAAACATGTATATAGTTATATATGTACAGACTGAATTGTGAGTCAAATTAAGAAAACTTTTGTATGTGACACTGGAGGATACTAAAAGTCAGCATCAGACTTACTAGTGTAAATACTTAAAGGCTTTCATATATAATCATACATTGGATTTTTGTTTTCCTGCATGGCATTTTCAATATGCATAACAAAAACCTATGGCAACATCTTACGAATTTAAAATTGTGAAAACTATCTTTATACCTTCATTCTAAAGTCTCCTATGAAAAATTAATATGCCTCAATATTTAATTTGGGAATCTTCACTAAAGCCTATAGTTGTAAAACACTAAAAATTTTAAAGAATACTTCAAACCTTGAATAAATAACTAATTAAAAATAATTATATGTTCATTACTTTAGGAGAACATAAGCTTCATATAAGGCAGGTACCTCTCCAGCTCCTTGGAATAGTATTGTTTGATCAGACAGTTTGTTCTTGGTTATTCGAAGAGCTGCAAGAAGACCTGCAACTGCAACGGATGCTGTTCCTGAAACAAGTAATAAATATCCTTGAGTAATCCTCAAATTGGTACTGCCAAGTTCTAAGCCTTTATTCACATCTTGAAATCATCATACAACAGGTTAAATGATACAGAAGAAGAACCTGTGATTATCTGATCCCCTGCTTGCATATGAGGTAAAATTCTCAGACCACTGATGTCAACATGTTAAGACAGCAGCTTACTAATATTCTTGAAAACTTCTCAAAAAGAAGATTCTGTGCCTTATTTTGGAGATGCAATGAATAAGATTGGATTCATCCTGCTTATTAGCTGAAAGAATTTAGAGAAATTATTTTGCACATCAGTTTCTTCCTTTGTAAAATAGTGTTACTATATGAGATAAAAGATTAATAATTATTATTTTTTTTAAACATTTTTTATTTTTTTTTATTTTTTTATTTTTTTATTTTTAAGAGATTAATAATTATTATTAGATTCTTCACATAATTATTGATCCCCTTCATACAAAGTAGGCACACAGAAATGCTTGCTGATAATGGTGTTAGTGGCAATGACATTTTTGATACATTTGAAATTTAATGTTTTAATTTTCAACTTGAAAAATTAACAGTTAATAGCAATTAAAATCTGATTTCATTGAGTTCTTTAATTGGCTTTCTGGCTATGACAATCATTGTGGATTCCAAAGGTGCTAGACAAAATTAATGTAAAATTTATTTAGGATAAAAACTGCATTTTCCTCATCATGCCTCATAGGCATAGAAACTTCACCAGTTCTAATTATATTACTTCATCATATAAGATTTCACAGATCACAGAGCAATTCTCTTGCTTTGAACATAATTACACAGCTCAACTTCTTTATGCTTATGCCTGAAATAAAACTTTGCAGCTTCCTGCAGTGCTTTTTCCAGCAGTATCTACATTTTACTCCTCTAAAGAAACATTCTACCTATGATGTTTCCTAGATCGCTCAGTTGAGTAGCAAATCTTTAAATAACCTTATTTAGTTAAAACATAGATTATGGGTTTGGATCCCCTTACCAGTCACTGCCCCGCCAAAGGAAAAAAACAACATAGATTAGTAGGTTTGATGATTGACAAAATTATGAAGTGTTATGTACACCAAGTACCAAAAATATTCAATATTCAATATTTCACCATCAGTTCTTTTCAATCTTTGGTTTGTTTCTCTCTTGCATAGTTAGGTAGTCATAAATAAGCCCCAAATAAATAATAATTGTTGAAGGCCTGTATGTCTTTTGTGTGTTTTTTACTTAGGAACACAATGTGAACTGCAAAAATAAAATGCTTGCAATTTTGAATCACCATTGCAATAATTATGAACTATGTTGTCATATATTACGCAAAAGCCACTCTTTAATACATTATTTAAAATGAAAATCTATGCAAAAATATGGCTGATCTATGCTTGAATCACCATTGCAATAATTATGAACTATGTTGTCATATATTACGCAAAAGCCACTCTTTTATACATTATTTAAAATGAAAATCTATGCAAAAATATGGCTGATCTATGCAGGGAAGGTACCATGACAGAAATAGAATGATATTTGTCCCATACATCAAGATATATTCATAGAGCTTTTAAACAGATAAAAGAGAATTTAAATTAGAAAGAGAGGCATAGATATCCAGTTACTAGATAATTAGTTATCGACAAACAGTAACTCAAACTATTTCTACCTCAGGTTCTTCTGAAGTAAACTGGCCAGAAGTTTGGATCTGATGAACTCTAAGCTCCCTTCCAACTCTGAGATTCCGTGACTTTAAGAGTTTCTACAGATTCTACCAACATCACAGATTTAACCGGATGAAGAGTCAAAGTTGAAGTATCATCAGTAATCACCTTATGTGTATTATTATTTTGATTTTAAGTAAAACTGGGCATTTACAGTCAGACAGATACAAGATATTCAATAATATCCTAACTATAATGTGGTGGCTTATTTTCACATGAGTATGCTAGGTCACTCTATATCAAAATCTTCAGGTTCAGAGGCATTACCCCAAATAAGGCAAAATAAGTCTACTCTTTCTACACTCTAAATTTAACTAGAATATGATTCCTGTGTATGGCCTGGTACTATCCTCATTTAAATTTCATTGCAGAAAAGGGAATACATGTAAAAACTTAAAATTTCATAAAAACATAAGTTTTTAGAATAAATTATTCCATAATTCCTTTTGTTTTGAGATTATAAACTAAACTTTTAGTAAATCAGACAGAGTAAGGGCTTAAGTTTATTTTTGTGCTATCAGTTTTAAAGTGAACTTAATATTTAACATTGTCAGCAAGATACTAAGAAGACTGAATCTTAAGACTTTTAAAACTTCTATTTGTATTCATGTAAAATACAACTTTAACATAAACAGAATTCGCCAGTTGTGCTGTGTTTTTGCTATGGTTGTATCATCCTACCTTTTATTGAAGAATGACTTCTACTAATGCAATAACTTGCTAAATCTAATTAGAACTACTATGTATAACTAGAAAGGAAGACCAATATCTAATCAAATAATTTATAATCCTCGTGTGCTATTAAATAAAGAGACTGGGTGAAAAACAAGATCTAGAAGTAGCAGGGGAAGGAGTGAATTTACATAAGCAGGGGTAAAGGCATTTGAGTGCGTACTACCTGAGCACAGTACTGAGGGATTCATGTGAGAGGTCGAGGACCTCAGATGGGAGGACATACTGGAGCAGGAAAAATACGTGCAAAGGCATGGAGGCAGGGATGACTCCCCGTTAAGAATGCCAAATTAGGGCCGGCCCGGTGGCGCACTGGATAGTGCGCCGCTTGGGAAGCGCGGCAGCGCTCCCGTCCGAGGGTTCGGATCCCACATACAGACCGGCTCCCGCTCACTGGCTGAGCGAGGCGTGGGAGCAACGCTGAGGCTTGCGATCCCGTTGCCGGTCCCCGGTCCGGTACGGGGGCAACACTGAGGGTTGCGATCCGTTGCCGGACACGGACAAAAGACCAAAAAAAAAAAAAAAAGAATGCTAAATTGAACACCCAATTAGTATTCGTTCCCCCCAAGAAACTCTACTAATACAATAGAAAACAGATTTTTAGGAAAATCAAAGAGACCAGAAGAGGATAGGAACAAAATTTTAGATGAAAATTTAAATAAAAGCTTATGAATTCAGTATGGAAACCCCCAATCTTCTCCTACTTAGCTCAAACAATACTGGCCGAAAGCTAATATCAGCAGAGACACTGAAAAAAGTCTTTTCTGTGTAATCAAAGCAGTGTAAGAGAAAAGATTCAGAGAGGCTGACAAGGGGAAATTCCCTAAGGAATTCCCTAAGGAAGTAAAGACTCATTTGTGCACCCAGCCTCCCAAAACATAAAAGAAAAGCAAACATAAAACATATGTGCAAGTGTAAATAGTACAGTGTTGCTGAAGCAAACACAATTTATTAGATTGCAAAGTGATATGAGGCCAGAAAATTATTAGGGTCAGATCATGTAGGGCCTTCTACTATGTACTAATCATAACTATAGGTATATATAGCTATATTTAGTTATATTATAGGTAACAGATGGTGTTGAAATATTTTAGATTCAGAGAATAGTGTGGAGGATGGATTTGAGATTTTTGAGACTGGAAGTATGTAAACAAATTAGGAGGGTACTGTAAACACTGAGGAGACAGGATATTGCAATAATCCAAGACAGAAGAGTCTAAGTAAGGAGGTATTTAAGAGATAAAAATCAACAGGTCTTAGTGCTTAAATGCATGGAATGGGTGGGGAGAAGTCAAGAATAATTATAAGTGTTCTTGCTTGCAAGACCAGGAAAAAGTTTGCAAGGTAAATATGAGTTCAATTTTGAGCTCTTTGAGCTGTGCTTCCTGTCTATGTGTTATTCTGATGGCAATATCAAGAAGGTAATTAGGGGCCGGCCCGGTGGCGCACTGGATAAGTGCGCCGCTTGGGAAGCGCGGCGGCGCTCCCGCCCGAGGGTTCGGATCCCACATACAGACCGGTTCCCGCTCACTGGCTGAGCGAGGCGCGGGAGCAATGCCGAGGGTTGCAATCCCGTTGCCGGTCCCCGGTCCGGTACGGGGGCAACACTGAGGGTTGCGATCCGTTGCCGGACACGGAAAAAGACAAAAAAAAAAAAAAAGAAGGTAATTAGATAAAATCAGTGCCAGAGATAAAGATCTAGAATTTAAAAACATGTAGTTGTACTCAGGTCATGTGGACTGATAACATTATCAAGAGCGAGTGGCTAAAGGAGAGAACCTAAATGCAGATGAACATTTAAGGAGTAAAGGGCAGAAGCATGTGATATGGGGAAGATAACTGACCAAAAAATGGTCAGAGAAGTAGAGAAAGTAAAGGAGTCTATGGTGACCTAAAAACAAAGGGAGGAAGTAGTAACAAACAGAGAAAAAAGGTCAGTCAAGAAACAAAATAAAAAATAGCTACTGAATCTGGCAATTACATCACTGGGGACCTTTCAGAGACCTATTCTGTGGCATACATGTTAGGGCTGAAGACAGTCGGCAGCATTTTGAGGAATAAATAAGTGTATGGTATGAAGGTACTTCAAAATGTTCAAGGGAAAACAGAATTAAAAGATAATACAAATCTTTCAATGAACTTTTTGAAGTACCCTCATACACTTTGGAAAAGCTTAGATAAGAAAAGAAAGAATGAGGTAGAGATGGAGATGGGAGTGGGAGGGAAACAGGGTTAAGGCATATATTTTATTTTTTATATTTTTAAGGACTAGTGAAAAGAACAGGGTAGAATTGAGGCAATTATTTTAAGAATTAAAGCAATTTAAACATAGTTATAGGCTAAGGGGAAGAAAACAGTAGAGAGAAAGAGGTTGAAGTTACAGGAAAAGCAGCTATCTTCCAACTCTGAGGAGCTTTCCCAAAGTGGTAGTGCTTCATTATTAATAAAGCTAGATTAAATCATTTTGTAATAAAAATATTCAACAAAATATTTCTACATTCTAATTTATGTACTGCTTTTTCTAATA